GAAGAAGCCGTGAGGGAAGGGACGGGACGGGACGGGGGCGTGCGGTTGCTGAGGCGGCGGGCGGGTCTGACAGCACCGAACAGGGAGGAGGCGGCTCCCGTCCTGACGTTTGAACCAGCAGAGAGGAGCGTTGCACATGGAAACGGCATCTTCACCTTTCCCCCCTGTCATTTCGAAGCCTGAAATTCCAGTGCCCGTGAGCGTGCTCCTCCGCAGCCCTCCTCCTGGCGCGATTCCTCCTTGCTCCCCAAGTACGGCACTGACGTTTATGGGGCAAGGGGCACCCGTGCACCAACCTGCTGCCTCACTTAAGCACCAACGGAGGCATTGCTAAGGCTTCCATAGCTATAAATAGCATCGGTACCCATCTGCTCCATTTTTGTATTTTGTTCCACTTCTGGGATCTTAAAAAAAGAGCACTAGTTTCTTTGCTAGGCCTAAAGCTACTGACAGGAGCAAAGTGTACTTGAGTGGTACAGGGGCCCCGAGGCCCTTAGCTAGAAACTGCTTTCAGCAGGCAAATAAAAAGGCTGGTTGTGTTTAAGAAGAGGTTTGTCTCAAAGCCTGGCCAGGAGAGCAGCTACTGAGCATATTTCCTCAGGTGTGGCCTCTTGGCCATTAGCCCCTCATTAGGCAGGGGCTACCCGAAGGCTCTAAAACCTGTGGAAGGTGCCTGGTTGAGGAAGACAGGATGGGGCCTTTGTAAGGGCAGAAAGCCAACAATAGCTTAGTGGTCCCTCTCTATGGGTAAGTGTTAGAGGAGGTGCTCCCTGAGGAAGAGGTGAGCCAGGCTGAGCCCTGAGGAGAGTCTGCTGGGACTGGATTAGTTGACCTGGCATGTGAGAGAGCAGGAAAGGCCTTTTGAAGCGATTCATGGATTTGTGGAGTAGAAACTTGAATGGGCCCCTTACCTGAGGAGAGCAGAACTGAGTGCTCAAAGGCTTTTTCCCTCGCTGTCTGTAGGGGGGTTCTTCATCTTTAGTTCCTTGACACAGCTTGTGGTTGCAATGGCTGTATAGGGAAATGCAGTCTGCTGGTGGTTCTCTGCTCCTTCTTAGGCTGGTGTTTTTGGGGCCCTAAATTCCATTGTTATGTTTATTCAGTCTGGCATAATCTGATTCAATAGATGATGGTAATATCTGCCTCTGGTGTTGCAGGTGTGGCAGCAGTCAAGACCTTCAAAGGAAAATAGAGACTAGTTTTGGAGGGAGAAATACAGTGGCGGGGCAGAGAAGAGCTACTGGAAAGATAGTCTCATGGACTGTAATTATTAGTCTGGTTCAGAGAAGTGCAGAAAGAAAAAAAGCCTCATAAGGAGAGGTATGTTACTTTGATATTTTTGTAGGCTGGGTGTACAGCCTTTGGTAATTGCATGCTTTTAACGTATGTGGCTGAAACCAATAAGGCTTCGCAATGTGGCTTACCTGTGTTTTGCACTGCCTGGCTTAATCTTTTATTTTGGCAAGACTGAATTCAGCTGCTCTAAGAGCTGTTTGGCATGCATACCTGGCTTGACTATTTTGGATTGTGCTCACTTACAGATTGATATGTTTCTAGAGAAGGGGTTTTGGGTTTGGTTTTGTTTTTGACATACAGGATTTTCTTTTTAGTGGGCAGTCAGGTAGGAAGAAAAGTTAGGAGTGTGTGGAGGAGCATTTCTTTGCCCTACAAGCCAGACTTAAAATTTCAGGAGTTAAGCAGAATCATCAGGACTGATATAAGCAGTATTTAAAATACCATAGGATAGCATTTATATGTATTGTTGCATTTAAAAAAAAAAATCTAAAGACCTGACAAAGTGAGCTAGTCCAAACCAGTGGGGTGCCATTCATATCTATGCCTGTAGGGATGAAGTTCAGCAACAGTATGATTCAGCCCAGACTTACCTGTCCTGTGAGCTTAGTGGCTTGTTTGCAAGTCAAGCCAGAGTGTGAGCCAGCAGATTGATGGATACTAAGAATGGCAGGTGAACTTGGTGTATCAGCTTGAACCCAAGCTAAGGAGGCAGTTTAGAAGCAGTGTTTGTATACTTTCCTCTCCCTTGCCAAAATATCCTTGTTACTACAGGCCTGTTTTATGTCTTACACAACCAAACCATGCAATAAATAATAAGAAAACTCCTCTGGGATGAAACTACATTTTATTTTCAAGTGATGCTAAAGAATCACAAGCTTGAATGATTACCATTTTATTAAATTAACATGCAGATAAATAGCAAGGTAGAGTTTCCTCTTCCTGCATACCAATTTTTAACATCAACTTGTGAGTTGTATTCACAGAATGTTAGGCACACAGCTGAAATGCTTCCCCTAGTTTTTTTTGTTAACACTTGCACATTGTTGTTGTTTTCTTTGTATGTCTCTTTCAATTTTTTTAGTTGTTTTCCTTCTCTTACAGATAAGAGCTTTTTCATTTAGTTTCTAATGTTACTATTATCACACAATGTGATGAAAAATAGTTCTGATATGAAGTTTTCTTTGTTTTTAAATAGACTGCACAACTCTCAGCAGTTTGAAGTCTTGCTTTGGTCTTACACAGGCACTAAAAGGGATCATTCAAATTCAGTTCTTGTTTCAGGCCTTTTTTGCTTTCTTTATATAAAACAAATTGAATTTCTTTTTTAAGATGAAGCATTTTACATGCTTCCTTAGAAATCAAATAAACATTGTTTATGTTTATCACTAGACAATCAGAAAGAGATCAGTTTCATGTTACTGCAAAAGAAAAATAAACGCCCTTCAAGTTTATTTAACGAGTTATTTTATGTGCTTAACATGGTCTTACCATGAAAATATGAGCAGGCATTCCTGACTCCTGCTTAAATCTAATACTATACAATGTTATTTAAATTATAAAAAGTGTTCTGTTTAAATACTCCTGAAGAAGAACGCAGTTACATTGTAAAAAAAAAAAATAAAACAAATAAAAAAAATTACTGGCCCTACATGGCCATTGCTTTGAACCTCTGGTATCAACTTTCATCAGATAAGGCAGTTGGTATATTGTGCACACTGCCTGATTTCTAGAACTCTTCAACTATGGAAAGAAAGCAAGCCAGTAAAGAACAAAGAAAGAACCTGAAACTTGTAGAGAATTTTAAGACTCACTAACTGAAGAGCCTGTTAGGAAGTGGGCAGCTGCCTGCACTGGCAGGTGTAGAAGGCACAACAAGCAGGACTTTTGTGCCAGCCATCTGTTCCTTTGCTAGTCTGGAAGAGCGCCCTGCCTGCCCCCACCCAAATTCTCCTGACTAGGGAAGCAGGTTTGAGTTTTGTGATATGGTCAGAACAAAACGTTTAGTTTATTGTCCTGCCGCAGCTGTGGTGATGAAACCCAGGGCTGCCTGACAGGTACCTCTGTGCAGCACCAGTAATGAGTTGCATACCTTATTCCTTTTGCCCTTTCCCGGCCCTCGTTTTGGCTGTCCTTATACCTCTGTTTTTCCATCCCAGTCTCCTCCCAAATAAACAACCCACCCCTAATTACTTGTTCCCAATTGGTCCCAGTTTTGTTACATCTGTACTCAGATTTGGGTTACTTAGTCTTGGCCTTACATGGTATTACTGATATGGTTACCTAGATGCTGTTGGCCTTGTATGACTTTACTCCCTGAAAGGTCCCTAGTAGTCCCTTCCAGTTATCTCTGATGTCTGGCAATTTCTCCTGTAACTCCCCCTTAAGAACCTGTGGGATCCGGCCACCCTCACAGCACTATTTGTAACTTTTGTTGCCTTCTCATAGTATTATTTGTAATTCCTAGTGATATTTTTTTATGTCATGTCCAGTAGTTTTCCACAGCTTGTTCAGTTAACTGAATCACATGCCAAAACCTCGTCATTGGCCTGTCATTTGCCTGCAATCCTGAGCATAGCTGAATAACTGATAGGAAACCAGAGTATTAAATAGTTACTTTTAACTAAGTTTTTGTTCTCTTTTTATATATAAAAATTTAAATGCTATGCATTTTTTCATTACAAAATGAAAGTAGACATCAGCGAACAGGGGTACATCGGCAGGTAGTGTCATAACAAGCTCAGACGACCGTACTGTAGAAATCTGTTAAGGGGGAGCAGGGAGGGAGATAGCTTAAGTGATTTTCTTTCTGAGTTAGCAAGAACAACAACTTAGGAGCTCCACATTTTTAAACAGATTTATCCAGGCAGTGGGGCTCTACTAGATTTTGCCTTCTGAAGTGTATGTGACAAATCTTTTTTTTCTTGCAAGTGGAGTGTTTTGAGTTTGGATTTAGGTTTGGGGGTTTTTGAGTGTGGTGTTTTGCTTTTGTTACTCAGGGAAATTATTGTACTTTTTGCCTGCATACAGGCTGTTGTCAGAGATCACAGAGATGCCAACAGATCCCATGTTAGCAACATGGGCAGGGGAAAGGCGGTTCTTTAATTTCCTCCTCACTGACAGAGGTTTCTGTGGGATGAACAAATGGTGTTCAGTGTTATGTACAGACCTTTTTGAAGATTGGGAGGGGATCAGAAAAATATGCAAAGAAAATTCATCAATTTTATCTTTTCTCTTCCCAATAAACTCTTGGTCAGGTACCACCTTCTGTGAGCCAGAGTAAGATAAATTGAAAGTTTCAACACTAGTTTGGCATACAGTTTCTGAGCTAAAGTTATGAAGTACTAAGTTAGATTATCAGGCTGAATTTGTAATGGTCTTTAGCAAGATGGAAAGCCTTTTTTTTCTAAGCTTAGGTGAAAGCTCAGAAGGATTGTTATTTTATCCTATAGTAAGAGCTGGATGACTAAAGAAAAAAAAAGGCATATCTGTGTAAATAAAAACAAAAAAAGTGTGTGTGTGCATATATGTATTGAAAAATTGACATTGCAAG